CGTCTTCACTTGTGTGGAGACCCGGGCCTGTCACCTAGAGATGGCGACATCGTTGAACGCAGACAGCTTCTTGATGGCGTTCTCTAGATTCGTAAAGCGTCGGGGAAATCCATCCGTCATGATATCCGACAACGGCACCAATTTCGTTGCCGCTGAGAGAGAGCTTCGTGAAGCTGCCGAGCAGATTGATTGGCAGAAGGTAGAACGTCGGTCCGCCGATGATGGTATCAAATGGCGTTTCAATCCACCACGTTCTCCCCACTTTGGCGGTATCTTCGAAGCAGTAGTGAAAGCAGCAAAGCGTGCACTCACTCATGTGCTGGGCAAGGCCAGCTTGACTGATGAGGAGCTCGTCACTGCCTTCACCGAGGTTGAGAATATCCTGAATTCCCGTCCTCTCACACAGCTCAGCACTGACCCGCAGGATGCCGATGTGCTGACCCCGAATCATTTCCTCGTTGGCCGCATAGTGCAACCACTTGATTTGGAGATGGAAGTGAATGCCTCTGACGCCGTCCACCCGCGGAAGCGTTGGCAAGTAGTACAGCAGCATGTGTGTCATGTATGGACCCGCTGGATGAAGGAACTGGTCCCGCTATTGAACCTCAGGAAGAAATGGAGAGCAGAGAGAAGAGAGCTGCAGAAAGGCGACTTGGTGCTGTGCCCAAGTCCGGATGTAACACGTGGCCAGTGGCCACTAGGCAGAGTCGTAGGAACCCATCCAGGAGCCGATGGTCATGTAAGGGTAGTGGACGTGAAGATCGCCGACAAGATCAAGCGCCGGAGTGTTCACCAGCTTGTTCCATTGTGTGCAGATAGTGGCTGAGGAATTCAGTGCCTTAGCCCACCGTAGTGACAGTAGCAGCATAGAATGGACCTGCATATTTCCTTTTAGTTCTTTGTCTTTTCATGTTCTATCGTTACTGTTTGGTATCACACTCAGTCTTATACCCTTCGTGTGAGAGGGGGATTATGTTCCGTCGCATTTCATATTGCTAGACTACCTGGTTTCTGTGTGTGAGCCGACAATAGGCGGTTGTGCGATGACAGTCTGGTTCTTTTCATTACCTTCGTAATCTGTGTCCCGCTCACTTGGTTGCGGTTTCATTCATGTCTGTCATGCTAGTGTTAGTAGCCGCTGAACTAGTATCGTACGCTGCACATATCTAGAGTGCAAGAGTTCATAGTGCGTACGGGATGTTTCCATGCCTGCTGCTTTGGCTTCCTTTGTTTCGCTGCTTTTCAGGATATGTTCTGTGCATAAATTAGCTGGTTTTAGTTGATAGTGCTTTAGTGTGTGCGTAAGGATTTGTAGAGAACAGGAGCTGTTGTTGTATCGTCTTGCAAGAACGTTGTAAGACAGATCAAGCCCCACAGTTTGTGTGATGATTCGAGTGTATGAGTACTCGAGTGCATGAATATACAGTCTTCGAAGGGTTCGTGTGCGTGTGAGTAGAAAATACGAACATATATAGTCATTAATTTTTTATTAGCCAACGTTGTCCGGTCACCACACCAGCTAACGGTCATCAAAAGTACTACATGAACAAAAATAGGCAAAATGGTGACTATGAGGTTGCCGATGATGCATGGTATATATAATACTAGAGTCAGACCTTGCTTAACCGCACACAGCCGCTTTCCACGAAAAATATCTGGATGGGCGAGGGAACCGGATAGCCGAACACACATACTGTACAAGAATGTGGCACATCAAAAGGTGTGAAATTGTACGTACGTGTATATGGCTACCATGCAGTACAGCAAGTGTGTACAACATGTAAAACGAGCGAGAAAATGACAAGTGCACGCAACAGCGATTGTGCACTTGTCATTCGAAACACAACTGCATCACCATGGAAATTCAAACTCAGACGTGATTTTGGCCGTAGTCTGAATCGCCTCTAAGGAGCTGCATCTGCGCCTTGATCATAGAGGGTGGTGGCAGTCCTGCCTTGATCCAAGAGGCTGGTGGCATTCCTGCCTTGATCCTAGAGGGTGGTGGCATTCCTGCCTTGATCCTAGAGGGTGGTGGCGTTCCTGCCTTGATCCAAGAGGGTGGTGGCATTCCTGCCTTGATCCAAGAGGGCAGTGGCATTCCTGCCTTGATCCAAGAGGGTGGTGGTGTTCCTGCCTTGATCCAAGAGGGTGGTGGTGTTCCTGCCTTGATCCAAGAGGCTGGTGGTGTTCCTGCCTTGATCCAAGAGGGTGGTGGTGTTCCTGCCTTGATCCAAGAGGGTGGTGGCATTCCTACCTTGATCCAAGAGGCTGGTGGTGTTCCTGCCTTGATCCTAGAGGGTGGTGGCATTCCTGCCTTGATCCAAGAGGGTGGTGGCATTCCTGCCTTGATCCTAGAGGGTGGTGGCATTCCTGCCTTGATCCTAGAGGGTGGTGGTATTCCTGCCTTGATCCTAGAGGGTGGTGGCATTCCTGCCTTGATCCTAGAGGCTGGTGGCGTTCCTGCCTTGATCCAAGAGGCTGGTGGCGTTCCTGCCTTGATCCAAGAGGCTGGTGGCGTTCCTGCCTTGATCCAAGAGGCTGGTGGCGTTCCTGCCTTGATCCAAGAGGCTGGTGGTGTTCCTGCCTTGATCCAAGAGGGTGGTGGCATTCCTGCCTTGATCCAAGAGGGTGGTGGCATTCCTACCTTGATCCAAGAGGCTGGTGGTGTTCCTGCCTTGATCCTAGAGGGTGGTGGCATTCCTGCCTTGATCCAAGAGGGTGGTGGCATTCCTGCCTTGATCCTAGAGGGTGGTGGCATTCCTGCCTTGATCCTAGAGGGTGGTGGTATTCCTGCCTTGATCCTAGAGGGTGGTGGCATTCCTGCCTTGATCCTAGAGGCTGGTGGCGTTCCTGCCTTGATCCAAGAGGCTGGTGGCATTCCTGCCTTGATCCAAGAGGCTGGTGGCGTTCCTGCCTTGATCCAAGAGGCTGGTGGCGTTCCTGCCTTGATCCAAGAGGCTGGTGGTATTCCTGCCTTGATCCAAGAGGGTGGTGGCATTCCTGCCTTGATCCAAGAGGGTGGTGGCATTCCTGCCTTGATCCTAGAGGGTGGTGGCATTCCTGCCTTGATCCTAGAGGGTGGTGGCATTCCTGCCTTGATCCTAGAGGCTGGTGGCGTTCCTGCCTTGATCCAAGAGGCTGGTGGCGTTCCTGCCTTGATCCAAGAGGCTGGTGGCGTTCCTGCCTTGATCCAAGAGGCTGGTGGTGTTCCTGCCTTGATCCAAGAGGCTGGTGGCGTTCCTGCCTTGATCCAAGAGGGTGGTGGCATTCCTGCCTTGATCCAAGAGGCTGGTGGCGTTCCTGCCTTGATCCAAGAGGCTGGTGGCGGTCCTGCCTTGATCCAAGAGGCTGGTGGCGTTCCTGCCTTGATCCAAGAGGCTGGTGGTGTTCCTGCCCTGATCCAAGAGGCTGGTGGTGTTCCTCCTTGATCCAAGAGGCTGGTGGTGTTCCTGCCTTGATCCAAGAGGCTGGTGGTGTTCCTGCCTTGATCCAAGAGGCTGCTGGTGTTCCTGCCTTGATCCAAGAGGGTGGTGGTGTTCCTGCCTTGATCCAAGAGGGTGGTGGTGTTCTTGCCTTGATCTAAGAGGGTGGTGCTGTTCCTGCAGATACGGAAAGCTAGGCATCCAGCAGAGTCTCACGCGAACAGTGAGTTTTTTTTTTAACAGGCATCGCACAGCGTATGGCCGTGCTGCCAAAAACTCATAAAAGGTCAGCTTTGGGTGTGAGCAGTGACCGCACCTAGTGTGTCAGTGTGTCAGTGTGTCCGTGTGTCAGTAGAGAGGTTCTGCTTTACGTGAAACGCAGAGAAATTACGTAGGCCCGGGAACTCTCTTCGCGTTCCCGTAACGTAAAGAAAACCTGTTCTGCTCTATGTTCACGTAGAGAAATCACATGGAATGTGTACTGGGACTTTCCCCTTCCATATTTGGCAGTTTTCTGCCTGCAGTTGATCTATGCCCAGCAGATCTGTACGCATTTTCTCTGCGTGTGCCACAAAGTAGAGAACCTCATCTCCGCGTAGAAATCTGGACCCCAAACACGCGAAACCGTAGACTCTAACCCAGACACCTGCCCTCTACGTGATTTCTCTACGTTTCACGTATAGCAGAACCTCCCTATTGAGTCACCTTTCAAAGATTCCTTTTGAGTCTCTCTTCCCTTGTGATGGCGCACTAGCCAGTGGCTAGAGCGTGTTAGCGCCGCATGAACACCTGCCAGCTGGCAGCTTTATTACACTAATCAATCACGCAGATTCACGGCGCTAATCTACAGCGCAGCTCCGAAACCGCGCCAAGAGAGGTTGCAGCGCACACCACGTATTTCTTCTGCTCCAAACTTTTCCCACGTGCCTTGCTTTGAGTGTTGCCTTTATGAAATTAGAGTTCGCTGCTGTTGCCTGGCTTTCACAGTTTTGCTCTTAGCTTTTTCTTCCCCACCAACACCCACCCTATAGCTGTTGCTCTACGTTAACATGTTGCTATATTCTCTGCAGCCTATGTGGCATGGTCTGCACTTGCATCCGCTGTAACTTGCCATAATCAATTCTAAAAAAATAAATAAAAAACAACATACAAGTAAAATAATACATTGGGGAGTGCGGATGTTCGCTCACAACTGGTTTGCCCTGTTTGCCTGCTTGCGACTCAGTTGTACTTCGAAGTAGAGTCATTGCCTGTTCGCGACTCAGCAGAGTCTTTTCCCGGTGCGACTCATTTGCCGAGGCACGTGACCTTGCACCGGTTGTTCGAATCCAGCACTCCACCTATCCGATTTAACTCAGCCAGATGATTCTGTGTGTGCTCGTTCATGCGTGTGGGTCCGCATGCAAGCGTATGTACATGTTCGGCTGTGTGAAGCACGGGCTAACCAGCTTTGGCAGTGAGCAAGTACAAGTACAAGTGTCAGTGTATCAGTGTGTCAGTGTGTCAGTGTGTCAGTGTGTCAGTGTGTCAGTGTGTCGGTGTGCCAGGTTGCTCCTCAGCCAGAGCTAGATCACCTACCTGATGCTTGCTATCCTGAGCGAGTACAATTTTGGGATTGGTGGCATGTGTCGCGATGAACACCATTGAGAATGAGTACGTGTTGCGCTTGAACGTGTGACAATCGTCCTCGCTGGTGAAGATGTAGCGATGGAACTGGTCAACAAACAGGTACTGTGCGCACGCAGCAACAACACAACAACCAAGCCAACACAAGACACACCAACACACACACACACACACACACACACACACACACACACGCGCGCGCGTTAGAAGTTAAAAGTTAAAAAAAGTTGAAGTTATTGTCGTGTTTTGAGCCATCCTCAAGACTTAGACAAGACACCCACATATTACACACACACACACACACACACACACACACACACACGCACGGGCATGCGCGGGCATGCGCGCACGCACACGTACACACATGTACACACACGTACACACACACACTCACTCACACACATGCCCATGATTCTCGCTCGCTTTCAAGAGAAGCTAACGTTACATGGCTGTTGGTGCTAAAATCTACTGCTCATCACCGGCATTCCAAAAGTTTACAAATAGACAAAGTCAAACAAATTGCTCGTCCATGTCCTGCAATGGGTAGTGCATGCCAGGGAGTTGGTATTTTACTACTCCCTGGTGCACACCGTGGCCTGACAGATTGCCAGATTGTCAGGGGTCAGGACTATTTAGTGGGCTCAAACAACACATGGTGGGATGGGGACTTGGGAACAGCAAAACACCCGGCACAGAGCAAGGACAAACAAAGACGCACGCACACAGACGAACAGACAGACGGCAGCTTCGAGCACAGTGCTCTGCATAACTCACGCGCTTCGGATCGGCGCGATGATTTTCAAAGTGGGTAATGTTGGCCGGCCGTCCGGTCTTGAGTCGCAGTTCCAGCGGTCTGAAGCTGTGCGCATAGTCATAACTGATGTACAGATGAGGGTAATCATGTACGGGCGGTACGCTAGAGGATGTGCGGATAATCAGTACGGAGCTGTTAGCACGGTGCGCACCACTCCCTGTCCAACGTATCTCAAGGGCAGTATTGTAATCATAGATAAGTGTGGTCTGTACAGCAATAGAAACACACACACACACACACACACGCATGCATACACATGCACCAACACACATACACACATACACCCACATACACACATACACCCACATACACACATACACACACACACATACAACACCCACACCCGGTACCACACACACACACACACACACACACACACACACACACACACACACACACACACACACACACACACACACACACACACACACACACACACACACACACACACACACACACACACACACACATACACACATACACACATACACATACACACACACACATACACACATACACACATACACACACATACACACACATACACACACATACACACACATACACACACATACAGAGAACAGCTAGGGCTTGTAGTATACGAGGTGATAAGCAAAAAAATTTACATAGGATATTTTTTACATTTTCTGTAAACTAAATTTTGTTGTCGTCGAGACGTCTCCTGGAGGAAGTGATCTTTGACATTCGATTAGGTATTACGTTAGTATTATCAGTGTAGTTCGTGTTGCAGCCGAAGTTTTTGTTTCTGCGACTCCGCCATGCCGTGACGAGGCCTCCGTATTTCGTTGTGCGTTGTGAATTGCTCTAACAATAGTGTAAACCAGCACGTTATGGAAGAGACCAGGTTGCGCATGCAGCTTAGGTCGGCAACCGTGGCTGCTGATAGCATCACTGACGACTGTTCCGATGAAAACTGGCCGTCTGTAGATCGCTCGACGGCCACAGGTCCCACACAGACACCAAACCAAAACGGGCAGAAAAGAGCATAATTATTTGGCTAAAGGGGCGTTCTATTCACCAGGCCCTAAAGACCAGTTTAGTTCCGAATCCAAAGCTTCTACCGCATTCGGAGTCAGTCGGCAGCTCTTCTACAAATATAAACGCGAAATGGATTCGTCAGGAGTGCTAGTTGATGTCTGTAATGGTCGACTTCCTGGCCCTGTCATTCCAAGCATGGCACAGGGTAGTGCAGCAACGAACTCTGACCCTTTTGACACGCCAGAGAGCATGGAGGAAGTGAAGATAGCCCTTCTTGAGAGGTGCACACGGCTTGGTGATTCTGTTGATTATGGCTCTCATGGTACTGCTGGTCTGTACAAGGAAGGCATAAAGTGGGCTGTTGATCAGATATTGAGTTCTGTTTTGCCTGTTCATGGTCGCCGTTTCTGCTACGTCTTCTTCATCTTCCGACACGTTCGCCACAGAGGATATACCGTATACGGCTTCCCTTCTAGCTGCGATTCCTCCGGCCACGTGCACAGTTGGGCAGGCCTCTGCAATATCAGTGAGCACAGCGTCCTTCAGTAGTGCTCCTCTCCGTTGAGTGTTGGCGATCAATGGTGACAGTACTTGTCTACCTCAGTGATGGCGTTCTGTTTTCCATCCAGTATGTGGTCACGGTGTGCTAATGCTTGGATGTTACTTGCCTGATGTCAGTTGATTACTTTTTGTCCTGGCACCAGTTTGGCATTCTTTATTTTGACGTTTAATGGCGAGACGGTGATGTTGCTCCTGCTGTGAGTGTGGTGTGTGGGCCAGTTTTCAAGATAGCACTTGAAAAGTGCAAGAATGTGTGTTGACTCTATTTGTGTAGTGGGGTGCCTATACATGGGTGGGTAGGTTTCCACATAGCCTTATTATGGTATGTTGCCTTATTATGGTATGTTGCCTGTGGTTTACACACATGTAAAAGAATGTACAAGTATTTTGAGGACTGAAAAAAACGACCTATTTTGGGTCAGCTAGGAACGTCTACATTGCTGTTGGTGAAGTATTAGTTGAACTGTGATGGCATGACACGAGTCGTAGATTACTCTGCCATGTAAACCACTATAAGTCATGAAAAAAGGGCATTGGCTATGAATGTAGTCGATATCATGTAATTAGGCAAATTTGCCTGTTTGTTCTTCGACTCTAAATAAACAAACAACAACAACAACAATGCAGGGTGAGTTTACAAACGTGTACAATTTTTGCTAATCACCTCGTACTATGCCGAAACTTTCGGAGCGTTCTATTTCGGTAAACATTTCGGCACCGAAGTTACCGAAAATAAAACACCACCGAAAATGTCTGCCTGTACAGTATGTGGGGACAAGACGAGACGACAGTATTGGAAATGTGTTGCGGCCATCCACGATCACGACTGGCACATTCTTTGTGATCCATGCAACACGCAGTCACAGTAGCAGCGACTTGCTAACGTCAAGTGAGCTCCGGATTGCTGATGGCTTACTCAAGCGTGCGTAACTCGGCCATGCCCCACAGGACATTTCAGCAGGCAGTTCATCGCCGGGCATAAAATCCACACTGTTTTATGTTCCACTGGTGCTGCTGCCGCAACTATTTCCGTTGTGCTGCAATGCCGCTGTTAGACATGAGCAAGTACAGTAGAACGCTGATTATCCGGACGTCAACTATCCGGATCGCCTGGTCGCGCTGGACAATCAGGCGCGTACCCCGTATGGGTTCCTGGGTGCCCGGACCCCCCCCCTTTTTTTTTCGCTCAAAGTGCAGGATTTTGCTTCATTTTTTGAAAATTTCCCGGGGGAGGCCCTCCGCAAACCCCCCCCCCCCCCTTGAAGGGCACCGGCGCACACGCCTGACAATAGCAGCTTTTTCGAGGCTTTTGCCGATTTTTCCCCACTCGGACCACTATTCAAGAGATGCACAAGATGTATTGCAACAGGTTGGAGTCCAAATGTATAACAATAGTGCCATTTTGAGTGCGCCTAGTTCCTGTTGTACTGCCGAAGAGAAAGAAAAATGATAAAAAACATGCGGGACTATGCATGTTTTAGATACATGTATGGCTGCTCCCGTCAGTATCCGAACAGTCTTCTCATCTGAACCACTTGAAGACAGTCCGTACCCGAGGGGTGCGGATAATCACCACTCTCCTGTAGAGCCAGTACTCTAGAACAGTGGACTATGCCCTACCACAACGCTTTCCATACCGTAGAGAGACTGTTTCTTGAAGGAATTTCAGTCGTTTCCTGTTTGATTTCCATGTGTGCGACTTTTCCTGTATTCATCATCCCCATCATCAAATATCATCAGCCCTTTCGCGTCTGCATCGGTGTGAGTCTAGCCTTTGCTTAGGCCACTTCCCGTATTACTTGCTTCACTATTTTTTGAATTATTTTCATATTCACTTGATATTGAAGTTCCAAAAATTTGATCACGACATGAAAATTACAAAATCTAAAAGAATATTCATTGGTTTGAGGGAAAGATACAAACAGCCCGGGAACTTGAAGAAATAATGTAGCAAGTATTATTCTTCTGTAAGAGACATGAACCTCCTACCTTATACTGATGTATCGTCTTAGCTCCGGCACCACGTTTGGACCGGTGGCTGCGAGTTCTGACTGGCAATTTCGACTTGATTGGCGAGGCGAAACTGGAATTCCTCTCCAGCGAAATAGGAAGGTCGGACTCGCTCCAGTAGTGTCCCGTAGACATATGCGGCACTCGTGAATCAGAGTGTGTGAACAAACCAGAACGCCTGGAAGCCGATAGGTGAGACTCAACGAGGATCTTCGCCTCAGTTTGAAACAATTGTGAAGTGAGTGCTGAAGCAAGCCAGTAGAGACAGCACAAGTATCCACCGGACTTGGCCATGATGGTGACAGCTTCCTCCCCACACGGAGGGTGGTAAAGGCTGGAATGAAAATGAAGGAACCAGACACGCACACGCACTCTTTCTCTCCCCCTCTATACTATCACAGTATTTAGGATTATTCTCAATCTGACTTCTGAGGGATTTTTGCTCAAATGTGTTCGCATGATTGGGTCTGGCATTTTTGGAGGCACACCGCAAAACTCACATGTAGATCTACGCACGACGCGCGAGAAACGCCGAATTTGACGTGTCGAAGCTCGACGTGACGTCATGATGTGACATATACAGTACTAAAGGCCTTTTCTATTTTCCCGACTCATTTTTTGTACTACATGTACCATGTGTACGGTATCGGTAGTACCGTAAAGTACCGTTGATCCGCCCCCACGCCATGTCGCTTCCCAGCTGGGTTTTCGGCAGGGGGGCGGGAACTAGATCAAGGCTGTCAAGTGCAGTACGATGTACAACAACGTAGAGGATCAGACTCAATGTGCTGGATTGTGCACATATTGATCCTGGATTGGCAAGTATTGTGTACAGCAGTGCATGCGTCGGTTCAACATCGTATTTCGTTGTGTACACCGAAGTCGCTTCACATGGAGAAAATCGACAGGGGGCGGGAATTAGAGAGGGGGCGGATCAACGGTACTTTACGGTAGTACCTGAGAGGTGAAGATGACGATTCCGTGAAGAAGTAGTGGCTGGTGTTGTCCGGTGAACATTCAAACCCACTTCCGGTAGAGTCTACTTGGAATGGAGGCGTTCCACACCCTGGTGCCCGCTGATAAGGATTTTGATGTGACTTGACTCGTGAGTAACTAACTTACTATCAAAGTAAATAATTATTTAGTTAGTTGTAACTAGTTCTACTCCCTGGTCCCAACTTGAACCTGTGTAAAAAAATCAGAGCAAGACTTTTCATGAACTCTTGATCAGAGGTGAGCAGCCGCTAGCCTATAATAGTATAAAGTATTGAGGGCATGAGCATGCCAGGTGCACAATGGGAAAGTTTGCATGATTGTGCTCTTCACGAGCATAATCAAACCCTGCATGCAGTTGCTGCACAGCACTCGATCTGCAGTGTACCATGGTGTACAGTGCTGGCCAAAGAAATCCAACCTCATGAATAAAATAGCGCCGGGCGCTACGCAGCCCTAGCACTGCATACAATAATAAAAAAGAAAAGCTGACAGGATCGCTTTTCTAAATACTGGTCTGTGCACTCCAACACGGCACTAGCACTACTTCACTCAAGAGGTTGAATTTCTCTGGCCAGCACTGTACATAATCTGAACCGTCCACCTCTCCACACTGCACTCTTGGCCCACATTCACAACACCACTCCATAGCGAGGAAGTTCGTTCTTGGGTAGATGTTCCATATCCTCCAAACAGCTGTTTCGCTCATTTTAAAAGAGCTCCTCGGTGGAGGTAGATAACGAATGAATAGCAGATAACGGAATGAGTATATTTATAGGGTAAAGTGGCGCAATTGCGCACTTTCTACATAGAAAAGTGGCATACCCAAAGAAGTTGAAGGTGACAAAAGTTCTAAAGGTGATAACGAAATGCATAGTGCTGCTGGAACATGCATACAGATGGCGCTAGAATTTAGACAGGTGCTGAAGCAGACAATCTATTAGAAGTTCGCACTACGTTGCCACACAATCACCCATACATTGTGCATTCATAATGATAGATTGAAGTAAACGGTCCCACAGTGACGCAACGACGAGGTGAGAGAAACCTCAATCTATCATTATGCATGGGTGTGTGATTGTGTGGCAACGTAGTGCGAACTTCTAATAGATTGTCTGCTTCAGCGCTTGTCTACATTGTAGCGCCATCTCAGGCATCTGTATGCATGTTCCAGCAGCACTATGCATTTCGTTATCACCTTTAGAA